GATGCGGCGCCAGCGGCGGCTCCGCCGCGCGGCCGCGGGCGCGATCCCCGGCGACGGCGCGGCCTGCGGCCGCTGCGCGGCGGCGACGGCCGCGCTCCTCGACGACCACGCGGCGTCGGCCCACGCGCGCGCGGCGCTCTACGTGCGGAGCGAGCGCGAGCACGCGCTCCGCGACGACGCCGCCGAGCCCGCGCGGACGCGGCGCCAGCGCCGCGACGGCGGCGCGGCGGCCCTCGAGCGCCGCGACGCGCTCGCCGAGGCCGTCGCGGCCGCGAAACGCGAGGCGCGGGCGACGCGCGCCGCGCGGACCGAGCTCGCGGCCGCCGCCGCGGCCCTGGACGCCGAGGAGGCCGCGTTCTTCGAGGCCGCGCGCGCCGTCGACGGCGAGCTCGACGGCCTCCGCGAGCGCGCGGCGGACCTCGTCGGCCGCGCGAACCGGCGCCGCGACCAGGACCGCACGCTCGACGACCTCGCCCGGAGCCTCGACGCGCTCGACGTCGACCGCGCGCCCTTCGACCGCGTCGACGCGTACGTCCGCGCGGCGTGCCGGCGGCTCGAGGCGCGGAGCGACGAGAAGAAGCTCGTCGGGACCTTCGTGCCGGACCCCGCCTAGGGGCCTCCTAACCCGAACTCGCGCGGACGACGGGCGTGGTCGCTACGATGCTTCTCTCTCTCTCGAGCCGCCCGGGATAAGCGTCGGGGTACCTCATGACGGGCTCTTCGATCGAGCGCCCGCCGCCCACCCACCTCCTGACCAATCATCTTTCGCCATCCGGGCAGTTGCCTTCAACTTGAAGGCTTCAAGTTGCTGGCCGGCTGTCTCTCATAGGGGCGGACAGTGAAGCCCGGGCGCTTCGGGGCCGCTTCGGCTGGGTCCGGTTCCCTGGATGGGTCGGGAGCAGTGCGCCGAGATGCTGGTTTAGTACAAGGACCTAATTTGGGTATGTTGCGTGAGGCCCGGCCTCACGCATCTCCGCCGAGTTTCGTGGCTGTACTAAATCAGGAACCCCGGGCACCGCGAATGCATGGTGCCGACAGCAGTGGTGGCGGCCCTCGACAAAGCGCTTCGGGACGTCGCGGGTCGACGCCAGGCGCCTCCCGTCGGCGCGGAATCACGTCGCCGCGCGTTCGGAACCGTTCCTGCGTACCCTGCGCCGCTACTCTGAGCCGCTGAGCCTTCGGCGCTGCTCGTGCGCGCCTGGAGCGCCCGCTCTGGTGAGGCTTCGGTGAGGCACTGGAACTAGATCGCTTCGCTGGGCGCTGCTGGGCGTCGCGCCGACGTGTCGAGTGTTCAGTGCACTCCCAGGTCGACCTACGAGGCGCGGGAACACGCGCTGCGCCTACCACTCGTGGCGTCTGCGCTGGCACAGGCGCGAGACGGGATTGGCGTTTCTCGCCTGGAAACGAGGCGATGGGCCACAACGCGTCCTCGCGGGCTACAGGCGTCGGACGGCTGCGCGATGGGTTCCGACGACATGTATATCGACTCGAGTGCGCCCACGCCAGCCCAAAGTTGCCGGAGCGCCTCGTACACGCGACCCCGTTTTGCCCGCGCGGGAGGAAAATCGAGACTTTGCGAGGTCGTAGCTCCGCGAGATTGAGGTCGATTTACGCGAACCCAGACTCTCTAAGTATCAGTTAGAAGTCGGCTATCCATCGCAAGTGACCGCAAGGTCGAACTCGACGGTCCACCGCCGGTCGACTTTCACTGTCCGCCCCTATCTCTCAAACACTGAACTTTTGTGGGACAACTCGGCTCTGGATCGAGTTTCTCTCAACCCACATTCTTGAGCCATCGCGCGCACCCGCGTCCCGTCCACGCCCGCGCCCCCCCCCCCTCGATCGCCTCGAACACTTCCGTCGCGAACGTTGATACCGAAATTCCCGTCCCGGCGGTCGAGCGACGAATTCGGCCGGAAATCGCTCTCCGCGGAAACGCCCCGGCGCGCCGCAGGCCATGACCAAGCGCCTCCTCCTCGCCCTGGCCGCGTGCGCCGGGCCGCGGGCCGCGGCCGCGTCGTGCTCCGTCGAGGAGTGCGAGTACCAGTACGACGGAATGTGCGACGTCGACGCGGGCTACTGCGCCTGCGACCCGCACGACTGCTCGTCCGTCGGGTCGATCCTCGGCTGCGAGGCGTGCGTCGCCGCGGGCGGCGAGTTCTGCGCCAAGGACGCGCTCTGCGCGGCGGCGGGCGAGGGGGCGAGCCTCGCGACGCTTCAGACGTTCTACAAGACGGCGACGTGCGACGCCGGCGACTACTCGACGTCGTGCCCGTCGCGCCCGCTCCCGGACCCCATGTACGACGCCGTCGCCTGGTACCTGGCCGCCATCAACGTCGAGGAGGTCTGGGCCTCGGGGATCACGGGCGCCGGCGTCACGGTCCTGATCAGCGACGACGGCGTCGACGCGTCGCACCCGGACCTCGCCAAGCTGAGCGTCGCGGACTCGTGCGACCACTACCTCAACGCCGCCGCGACCGATTCGCACGGCACGCACTGCGCGGCGCTCGCCGTCGGCTCGTCGAACGACCACTGCGGCGTCGGCGTCGCCTACGGCGCGTCGCTCGCGTCGTGCAGGACCCTGGGCGAGAGCGACGTCCACGACAACCCGACGGCCTTCGCCAAGGGCGACGTGAACTCGAACTCCTGGGGCGAGGACTCGTGCATCGTCGAATCGGACTACGACTACTACTACTACTACTACTACGACGCCCGCCGCCTCGAGGACGCCTGCCCCTTCTCCTCCGACGTCTACGACACGCCGTGCGCGGACCAGGGCAGCAAAAGAGAGCGAAATTCCCAACTTCAAAGGCTCATATCTCGGCCGGTTTCCACTCGTTTCGGCTGATTTTTGGACGAGCGATCATCTCTCGGAGCGGTCTCGACGCGTGGGCGCTTTTCCCGGAACGCGCGCGCGCGGAACACTCACGTTGAAGCGACGTTGAATCACCCTTTTGCTGCCCAGGCGCGGACGCCGCGTGCGCGGGCGCCGACTTCTCGCGCGCGGGGACGCTGGGCGAGGCCTGCAAGGAGGCCGTCGTCGCCTACTGCTCGGAGGGGCTCAAGTTCGAACACGACCGCGACGCGTGCCTCGACCTCGACCGCTACTACGTCGTCTGCTCGCACAACCAGATCGACGCCGCGGGCCAGGACGCGCTCAAGGCGGGCGTCGCCGACGGCCGCGGCGGCAAGGGCATCGTCTACGTCTTCGCGGCGGGGAACGAGTACACCGGCAACGGGAACACGAACTTCGAGGGCTACCTCAATTCCCGCTACGTCATGACCGTCGGCGCCGTCGGCGTGGACTTGCTCCACGCGTCCTACTCGTCCACGGGCGCGTCTGTCTTCGTCTCCGCGCCCGGCGGCGACCAGGGCGACGTCCGCGGCATGGTCACGGCGAACCCCGTCGCGTCGGGCACGAGCTGCGGCGACGCCACCGTGGGCACGTCCTACGCGACGCCCATCGTCAGCGGCGTCGCCGCGCTCATGCTCGAGGCGAACCCAGACCTGGGCTGGCGCGACGTCCAGGGCATCATAGCCACTACCTCCAAGCTCCCGGACGACGACGGCGACCTGCCGCGGTCCGTCAACGCCGCGGGCATCGGCCACAGCTACCAGTACGGCTTCGGCGTCGTCGACGCCGCCGCCGCCGTCGCCGCGGCGCGGACGTGGACGAACTACGGGCAGGAGGCCGTCCTCACGGCCATGGCGTCGCCGGGCCTCGGCATCGCCGACGACGGCGCCGCCGTCAGTTCGACGATCTCGGCCGCGGCCGACGCCGACTTCGAGGTCGAGGCCGTCGTCGTCATGCTCACGGTCGACCACCCGAATCGCGGCGACCTGAGGATCATCCTCGAGCGCGGCGGCGTCGAGTCGCTCCTCGCGCCGGAGTCCGACGAGGAAGGCGACGGCTACGACGACTGGAAGTACACGACCCTCCGCCACTGGGGCGAATCCGCGAACGGCGGCGGCGGCTGGACGCTCAAGGTCGCCGACGTGCGCGCGGAGGACGGGCCCGGCACCTTCGTCTCCTGGACCCTCCAGGTCCACGGCCACGCCTTCGCGCCGACGCCCAAGCCCACGCTCGCGCCCGTCGCGGCGCCCACGCCCAAGCCCGTCGCGGCGCCCGAGCCCACGCCCGAGCCCACGCCCAAGCCCACGCTCAAGCCCGTCGCCGCGCCCGAGCCCGCGCCCGAGCCGGAGCCGGACACGCTCGCGCCCGTCGCGGCGCCCACGCCCAAGCCCGTCGCGGCGCCCGAGCCCACGCCCAAGCCCGTCGCGGCGCCCGAGCCCACGCCCAAGCCCGTCGCGGCGCCCGAGCCCACGCCCAAGCCCGTCGCGGCGCCCGAGCCCACGCCCAAGCCCGTCGCGGCGCCCGAGCCCACGCCGCCGGCGGACGAAGAAGAAGAGCACCACGACGACCACGACGGCCACGGCCACGACGAGGACGACCACGGCGACGAGCTCGACGAGGCGGAGCACGCCGCTGTCGACTGCGTCGCGGCGAACTGCCCCGAGGGCTTCGACACGGAGTACTACTCCTACTCGTACCTGGGCGACGACGACTGGTTCGACGGCACCTGCGGCTCCGTCGAGGGCGCGCTCGACTTCACGTTCCTCTGCCAGAGCGCGGACGCGACGTGCGGCGAGTGCCAGAGCGCGGTGCGCGCCTACTCGGAGCTCCTCTGGGAGACGCAGGCCGCGGCCGTCGGCCTCGACTGCGACCTCGACTGCCCGGCCTACGGCGCCGCGGCCGAAGACACCCACGACGACCACGACGGTCACGACCACGGCGACGCGGCGCCCGAGGAGTCCGACGGCGCCGCCAAGATCGGCGCCGCGGCCGCGTCCGCCCTCGCGGCCGCCTTCGCGCTCCTCTGAGCCCGGACCGCGCGAGTGACCAAGAAGAAAAAGCAAGCGCCGACGCCGCCGCCACGCCGCGCGTCGAGGGGGCGCCGTTCGATGAGCCGCGCCCGGAGAGACAAAACCCACATCCTGCCTGTCTGCACATACACATAACCAACCTACTAGTAAGGCGGCGAACTTTGAAAGGCAAGGCGCCGCTCGCGGTCCTTAGTCCTAGCACGCCTTCTCGCGGTTCGCGCCGTGTTTCCGCTCGTGGGCGCGGCGCCACGCGCCGTAGACCTGGGGCAGCGCGACGACGGCGGCGGCGCGCGCGATCGCGGCCGGGTCCGCGCGCGCCGCGTCGGCGCCGAGCGCGAGGTAGACGCCGACCTCCAAGAAGCAGATGGACGCGCCGAGGAAGTCGCCCATGACGCCGCCGAGCACGGACCGGCCGTACTCGCCGGCGGCTAGAGTGCCGATAGCCGTCACCGACAACACCCTCGTCGCGGCGCCGCGCGGGAGCACGCCGAAGGCGATGGCCGCCGCGGAGAGCATTGCAAAGACCACGCGGCCGGGGCCTAGGAGCCGCCGGCTGTCGCCGAACCAGTTGTAGTACTCGCCCTTGGCGTCCTCGTCGTCCACAACATAATCGTAGAAGAAGACGAGCGGCGCCGACGACGCGCGCGATAGGCCCTGGGCGACGACGATCGCCGGGCCGGCGCCGGCGGACGCGCCGAGCGCCCAGACCGACGGCGCCGCGCCGAGGCGCGCGATGGCCGCGCACTTGGCGATGACCCAGAAGCCGCCGCCCATGGTCGCGTAGGAGCCGTTGCGGCTGTCGCGCATGATCTTCATGATCTGGGCCTTCGTCCAGCCGCCGCCGAAGCCGTCGAGCGTGTCGCAGAGGCCGTCCTCGTGGAAGCAGCCCGTCAACCAGAGCGTGCCGCCGCCCGAGAGCGCCGCGGCGACGAGCGGCGCGAAGAGCGACGCGGCGGCGTCGTAGAGCGCCGCGGCCCAGGCGCCGACGACGCAGGAGCCCAGCAGCGGGAAGTACGCCAACGACCGCATCAAGTAGCCCGGGTGGTGGTCGCACCAGCCGGGGCACGGCAGCCGCGTGAGGAACATGATCGCCGTCCAGAGGCAGCGCGCCTCGTCGCGCGGCCGCGCCTCGAACTCCTCGAGCGGCGTGCGCACGGCCGTGCCCGTGCCGCGGCTCGACACCTCGCCCTTGTCGAGCACGCTCGTGTCGCCGGCGCCGAAGCCGTCGGCGCTCGCCTCGCGGATGTCGCCGCCGCCCTCGTATTTAGCGCGCATGGCCGCCGCCGTGGGCTGGCCCAACGCGTTGTTGGGCGCCATTTCGTGATCGGTGCGAGCTACAACATACGCTGCGATTCAGCGAGCTCTTCAACTTGAACAGCACTGTGGCAAATTACACGATATGGACGCGCTCGATGCCACTTCGGACGCCGCCTCCGACGTGCGCTGCAGCAGCGCGATGACCCCGGCGGAGGTCGCCGTCGACGGCAGCGACGACGACGCCACGCCACACACGCAGCGGCTCCCACGAACACTCCTCCTTCTTTATGCCGTCGCGGCGTTCGAGTTCACCTTCCCGGACACGGCCAACGCGCAGCGGCTCAACGGGTCCGGCGTGCCCCAGGCGACGCAGCTCGCCATGTACGCGACGGGCTTCGCCACGTCGTCGCTGAAGCCGCTCTACGGCGCGGCCGTCGACGCCGCGGGCTTCCGGCTCGGCCGCGGCGCGGGCGCGCGGCTCGTCTACGGCCTCGCCGCGGGCGGCGCCGTCGCCTGCCACCTCTGGTTCGCGGGCGCGACGACGCCGCGCGCGCTTTTCGCCAGCTACGTCGCCCTGAGCGGCTTCCAGGCCTGCGGCGAGATGGTGCTCTCGGCGCGGCTCGCCGACGCCGTCGCCGCCGGCGCGGCCGCGCCCCGCGCGCAGGCCGCGGCGACGGCCGCGCGCTGGGCCGGGAGCCTCGCCGCCGCCGCGGCGACGCTCCGCATGTACCGCTGCGGCCGCGGCGCGCCGCCGCGCGCCGCGCCGATCCTCCGGCTCGCGGCCGCGCCCGCCGCGGCGGGCGCGGCCGTCGTCGCCGTCGAGCACGTCCTCGCGCGCGGCGGCGACGCGGCGGTGCCGCGGGCGGGCCCGCTCCGGCCGGGCCGCGTCGTCCTCGCGGCGCTCGCCCAGGCGCTCGTCGTCTGGGTCGGCGCGCGGACGTCCGCGGTGCCGCGGGCCGTCTGGCGCGCCGTCCTCGGCGCGCTCGCGGCCGCGGCCGCGGCCGCGGCGGCGTTCGCGCTGGCGCCGCGAAAGACGGCGCCCGACGCGCTCGCGTCGCCGCTCCTCGGCGCGCGGCCGCGCGCGGCCGTCGACGCCGCGGTTCTGGCGCCCGCGGTCTTTCTGTTCGCGCTGGAGGCCGCGCCGTCGGCGAACGAGACGCTCGACAACGTCGTCTTCTGGCTCTTCTTCGCCGAAAAGCCCTGCGTGACGCAGTACGTGAGCCTCGCGTCGACGGCCGCGTCCCTCGCGGCCTGCGGCGCCTACGCGGGCCTCCGGAGGCTCCGGCCCTTTGGCGACCGCGCGGCGCTCTTCCTCTTCGCGCCGCTCGCGGCCGCGGCGTCGCTCGCGCGCGCGCCCCTCGCGCGCGCGCGGCCTCTGGGCGCGTCCGCCGGCGGCGTCCGGCGGCTCTGCGGCCTCGGCCGCGCGGACTACGCCGTCGCCGCGTCGGCCGTCGACGCGTTCTTCGGCGAGCTCTTGGTGCTCGCGGCGTCGACGCTCGCGCTCGCGCGCGCCGCGGAGTTCGGGCCGGGCCGGCGCGGCGCGGCCTACGGCGCCTACCTCGCGCTCTTCGACGCCGGCGCCAGCGTCTCGGGCTGGATCGCCGCGGGCATGGTCGCGGACGCGGGCATCGCCTACGGCGACTTCCGGAAGGCGCCGCGCTTCGCGGCCGTCTGCGCGGCCTGCGCCCTCGCGCCCCTCGCCGTCCTGCCCTTCGTGCGGCCCGCGAAGCGCAAGGCGTAACTTCGTCGGAAGCGCGAGGCCATAACCTAGGCGTCGCTTAGGGCCATGGCCTCCGCGAGCGTGCCCGCGCCCAGGAGCGCCGCGGCGGATCGCGCGAGCGGGAGCGCCAGGACGGCGCCGCTCGCCTCGCCTAATCGCAGCGCCATGTCCAACGCCGGCTTCGCGGCGAGCTCGCGCGCCAGGATGGCGCCGCCCGCGGCCGCGCCGGGCTCCTCGGCGAGCGCCGCCGCGAAGAGCATGCGGTCGCGGCTTTCGGGGAACATCTTCCGCGCGCAGAGCGCCGCCACGGCGGAAATCGACCCGTCGACGAGCGTCACGACGCCCGCCGCGCGCGCGGCCGCGTAGGCGCCGACCATGGCCGCGATCTCGAAGCCGCCGAGGCGCCGGAGCGCCTCGCGGGGCGCGAGGCCGGCTCCGTGGAACGCGAGCGCGCGTCGCACGGTGTCGACCTTGTGCGCGAGGCCTTGGTCGTCGAGGCCCGTGCCGCGGCCGCAGCACACCGCGGCGTCCTCGCCCGTCAGCGCCGCGAGCAGGGCCGCCGCGGCCGTCGTGTTGCCGATGCCGACCTCGCCGACGGCGACGCACACCGCGCCGCGCGCCGCCGCGGCGGTCAGCGCGTCCCCGCCGGCTCGCAGCGCCGCCGCGAGCGCGTCGTCGTCCATCGCGTCGCCGCTCCGGAAGTCCGCCGTGCCGCGAGCGACCTTGCGGTGCTCCACGACGACGTCGCCGACGCCCTCGACGCGGCTCAGGTCTCCCGCGACGCCGACGTCCACGACGACGAGCTGCGCGTTCGCGGCGCGCGCGAGCGTCGCGGTGCAGGACACGCCCGCGGCGAGCGCACGGAAGACGGCCTGCGTCGCCGACGCCGGGTACGGCGACAGCGACTCGTCCGCGAGCTTGGCGCCGTGGTCGCCGGCGAAGACGACGACGGTCGCCGGCTCCGCGGTCGGCGCGAGCGTCCTTTGCGCCACGCACAGGGTGATGGCCCAGTCCTCGAGCACGCCGAGCGAACCCGGCGGCTTCGCGAGCGCCGCGAGGCGCTCGGTGGCGGCGCGGCGCCAGTGAGCCGCGTCTCCGTCGTACGCGGACATTGGGTTGCACGCAGTCAAAAACGCGAGCAAGCCTGATGCTCTCGTATGCAGCACAGTCAGAAGCGCGCAATGCGTCGAATTGCGAGACACAGCAGTCAAAAGTGCGCAAGCAGCGAGCTGCGAGACACAGCAGTCAAATGTGCGCAAGCAGCGAGCTGCCGCAAGACATCGTGCCCTTGCCACTCTTCGAACTCGGGTTGATGGTGAACCAGCTTTTCGTCAAGATGCGAAAAACTCCATCGAGTGCCAATCTCGAGTGCCATCCAGGTCTGAGGCTGCCCGAGAGAGCTTCAAACCATGCGCGTCGTGCTCGCCCTGTCCCTGCTGTCGAGCGCCGCCGCGGGCGTCGCCCAGGTGGACTACTTCTTCGGCAGCAAATGACCCGGGTGCGAGGCCTTCGGCGGCGGCGCGCCGCCGCGTCCGACCATTCCGTCCCGTCCGCGCATGCGATGCCGCGCGCCGCAGGTGACTACCCGAAGCTCTACGCGGCCTTCGCCTCGGACCCGAACACGAACTTCACGAAGCCCGGGCCCGCGGTTCCTTGACCCCGACGGCGCGTGCGTCCACGAGGCGGACTGCGACTGGGAGAAGTGGACGGTCTACGTCGTCGAGCCCATGGCCGTCGCGGACGCAGTGGCCTTCGTCGCCTGCATGGACACGTCCAACGCCACCGACGCGTCGTCGGCGACCCGGGGCTGCGCGGCCGCGGCCTTCGACGCCGCGAAGACCTGCCACGACGGCGACGACGGCCGCGCGCTCCTCGCCGCGGCCGCGGCGCGCTACGCGGCGGCCGTCGCCGGCGAGGCGCACCAGTTCATCCCGGACGTCTTCATCAACGGAGAGCATCAGATACCGGCGTACTCCTACGACCGCCTCGTGCCCGCGATCTGCGCCGCGGGCAGCACGGCCTCGGTCTGCTAGGCTCGCGCCGCCGCGGACGACGCCGACGCCGCGCGCGCCATATGACCGCCGCGCGGAGGGGAACTCCGCGCGGCGCGACCGCGTCCGCGCGCCGCCGATCGCGCCGCCGACGCATAGGTTGAAGTCGATCGTTCCTTCGAGGCTGCCCGCTTCCGATTCGACGACCATGGTGCGCGCGTTCCTGGGCCTCGCGCTGGTCGTCGCGCGCCTCGCGGCGGCCTACCCGCGGACCTGCGCGACGGCGCGGACCCGGGGCCTGAGCTGCGCGGACCACAACGTGACGACGCGCGACGGCTACGTCCTCGAGACGCACACGGTCTGGAACGCGCGCGTCGCGTCGCCCGCCCGCGTCGTCGTGCTCCAGCACGGGCTCATCGATTCGTCGGAGACCTGGGTCGCCAACTACGGCGGCGAGAGCCTCGCCCGCCAGCTCGCGGACGACGGCTGGCTGGTCTACCTCGCGAACTCGCGCGGCCGCCCGCCGTACCGCCACGCGACGCTCGGCCCCGACGACGCCGCGTTCTGGGCCTTCTCCTGGGACGAGATGGCGGCGCTGGACAGCGTCCTGTGGCGGCGACGATTTTCGAGAGAGTTTGACCGGGGAAACGAAGAGACATCGTTACCGACATGCTCGGTAGGCGCTGGACCTCCCCGCGACGGTGGACCGCGCGCTCCGCGCCGCGAACGCGACGCGCGCGTCCCGGGGTGGCGCTACGAGTGGACCCGGCCGGCGCGACGCCGCGCGCCGCGCGACGCCGCGCCGCGTCCGCCGCGACGACGGCGCCGAGCGCCGTCGATCCGTCCAAAAATCGCGGACATCCGTCGCGATCGCGCCGAGCGGCGCGCGGTTTCGCGGGACCGCGCGCGCGGCCGTCGGGGTTTGGGCGGTTTCGCCGTTTTCTGGACGTTGGAGCTCGGGGGCTCGGCGTTCGTGATTTCTATAAGGTGCGCCCGCCGGGGGCACGGCTCCCGGAGCCCGTCGGGAGGGCGTCCGGGCGAAAACTCAAGCACCGCGGCGACTCCCGTCGACGGCTACGGCCACGGCGACTTCATCTGGAGCCTCGACGCGGGGACGATCCTCTTCCCCCAGGTCGCCGCGCGTCTGGACCGGGGAGTAAAAAACTAACGTTCGGGGGGCACGACGACGCGCCGCAGGCGGCGCACGCGCGTCGCCGCGTCGAAGCCGAGGCCGCACCGGTCCCGCGCGGCCGTCGCCGCCTCGTGGAGCCGCGCGCGGTCCAGGGGCGCCGTCGCCGCGAGGAGGAGCGCGTTGCCGGAGTGGGCCGAGAAGCCGAGGGCCTCCGTGCGGAAGCATCCGCGGGCGAAGTGCGCGTCGTAGGCGGCCTCGGCGGCCGCGAGCGCCGCGGCCCGCGTCGCGCCGCCGAGGTGGAGGTTGTGCACCAGGGCGCCCCCCGGCCGCAGGGGCAGCGCCTCGAGGAAGGGCGCCCCGTAGAACGCCGCGGGGCACGCGTTGTCGCCGTCGAAGACGTCGATGAACACGCAGTCGAAGGGCTCGCCGTCGTACTTCGCGACGAAGTCGACGCCGTCGCCGACGACGACGGCGCCGCGCGGCGTACCGGGGACCGCGGCGGCGACGGCCGCGTCCACATCCACGGAGACGTGCGTCGAGTCCGGCGCGACGGCCTCCAGAAACCGGGGCAGCGCGCCCGCGCCGTGGCCGAGGTGGAGGAAGCGGGGCGCGGGCCGGTCGCCGAGGACCGCGAGCGCGAGCGCCGCCGCGGACTTGAGGTGCTCGGCGTGGAGGAGCCGCGCGTCGCGGTTCACGATGCCGTGGTAGATGGACCGCCCGTCCGGGAAGCGCAGGCCGACGGTGCGCCAGCCGTTGCGCCGCTCCCGGACCTCGAGCGTCGCGTTCTCGAAGCACGACGACGGCGCCGCGGACACGAGCGCCGCGTCCTTCGCGGGCCCCGCGTTCCGCCAGCTCGCGAGCGCGTCCGCGTCGTCGTCCGCGGGCGCGTGGCGCGCCGCGCCGTCCAAGATCGCCGCGACGCCCGGCAGCTTCGTCGGCCCGTAGAACCCGGCCTTGCGCGGCTCCTGGGCGTCCCAGAGCTCCTGGGCGTGGCCGCCGGGCGTCGCCGAGAGCACCAAGCGCTCGACGCCCGCGTCGTGCACGAGGTAGAGCCCGCGAGCCGCGAGCTTCCCGGCGGGGTCGTCCGCGGACGCCGCGAAGTCGTCGAGTAACGCGTCGGGCAGCGCCGCGCGGCCGTCGTTGCCGACGCCGCGGCCCACGAGGTAGCGCCTCTGGCCGTCGGCGCCTAAAGCCATGGGCAGCGGCGGCATGATCTCCACCGTCTCGAAGCCCAAGCTCCGCCAGTTCGCGCCGCCGCCCCAGTCGCGGTCGATGTTCGTCACGAGGTCGTCGAACGGCCGGTCCCGCGCGAAGGCCTTGATGAGCTTGCTGATGCCGCCGACGACGCGCGCGTCGCGCAAGGCGCAGAAGCGCAGGAGCTCGTGCGTGCGCCGGGCCGCGCCGGCCCGCTTCACGAGCTTTCTTTTGGTAAAGGTGGCCACCGCGACGAGCTCGTCCTCGAGGTAGAGCCCGTAGGCGTACTTGGCGTTCGTCGCCCGCCAGAGGTGGTTCGCCTCGAGGAACGCGCGCGCGACGTCCTTGTCCACGGTTTTGGCGCGCGTCTTCCGCGCGAAGACGCGGCGCGTCGACGCCGCGCCGAGCCGCGCGAGGAGCCGCGCGCGCGCGATGTCGCCCCGGCCGCGCCACGTGTCCTCGTGGAGGTGGATGATCTCGCCGCCGCGCGCCGCGCGCGCGTTCGTCAACCGCGCGGACGCTCCGGGGTCCGAGCAGCCCTCGAGGCTCCGCGGCGACGGCACGAGCCGCAGCGCGAGGTCGTCGCCGAACGCGAGGATTTTCGAGCGCGCGTCCTGCGCCTCGCAGCGCCAGTCGACGCCGTGCGACGCCAGCCAGGCCTCGACCTCGCGCACGTATGGTGGTGCTGCTGCTTCGGGCGTCATCGCCGGCGCCTCCCGGGCCGCCGAGGCTGCTGCTTCGGGCGTCGTCGCCGGCGCCTCCCGGGCCACCGACGTCGCCGCCAACGCGCTGCGGCGCGGGACGCGATGCGGCGGCTGCAGCGCCGCGCATGCACCGAGGAGAAATATGCATGCAAGCATCGCGAACGTCGAGCGCTAGTTGCAGAGCGTCATCGTCGCCTTCTCGCCCTTCAACCACTTCTTTGAGGTCAAGAAGCGGTTGCGCCCATCCATGCGTGATGGCATTGATGTCGCGATTCGATGGGCAGCATTATTGCCGAGCTTTTGGAACACGCTGGGCTCATGGCCTGACATCAGTAAATTCTTCTGCACAGAGGCAGCCCAGATGAGCGCCATGGCCTGAGACATCAGTAAATTCTTCTGCACAGAGGCAGCCGACATGAGCGCCGAGCGACCGTGGCGCGTCTATGCGGCCTGCGTGCTCGTGCAGCTCAATTTCGCCGTCGGCGCCGTCGTCGCCGCGCTCGGCCTGCCGCTCATCCATCCCATGTGCTTCGCGCTCATCCGCGAGGCGAGCGCCGCGGCGCTGCTGCTGCTTTGGGCGCGCGCGACGACCACGCCGCGGGAGCGGCGCGTCGCCGCGGACTGGCGCGTGCTCTGCCGCGTCGGCGCCTGCGCCGCCGCGACGCAGCTCCTCGCGCTCGTCGGTCTGAAGCTCTCGTCGAACCCGACGGTCTTCGCGCTCTACCAGCCGGCGCAGCCCGCGCTCGTCGCCGCGGCGTCCGTGCTCCTCCGCTGGGAGGCTTTCGACGCGACGCGCGCCGCTGGCGTATTCATCGCCTGCGGCGGCTGCGCGCTCGCGGCCTTCGCGACGCTCGACGGCCGCGCGGGCGCCCGGTCCGGGGACCTCGCGGGCCACGCGCTCTTCGCCGGCGCCGCCGTCGCGGGCGCCGCCTTCCAGCTCTGCTCCAAGCCCGCCGTCGCCAAGTATCCCCCGGCGCGGCGGCCCGCGTCGCGACGTCGGCCGGGAAAGAGATTCGTCGTCGCCCGAACGAGAGTCGCGAGAGACGCGATCCGAAAGCTCGCGCGCGCGCCAGGTCGTCGTCGCCGCGGCGTCCTACGCGCTCGCGGCGTGCTGCACGGCCGCGGCCGCCGCGGGCCTCGCGGCCGCGCCGGGCGACGTCGGCGCCTGGCTCTGCCCGGACTGCGACGGCTTCTGGCGCGTGCCCGCGTCGGCGCTGCCGGCGCTGTTGTGGTGGATCTTCATGAGCACCGTGCTGAACTACGCGCTCATGCTCTGGGCCGTCGCCGCGTCGTCGCCGACGCTCGTCACGGCGTTCTCCGCGCTGCAGCCCGTCGCCGCCGCGGGCGTCACGCTCGCCGTGCTCGCGTCGCGCCCGCGCTTTCGCTGCCGCGGCGCGGCCGACGCGCGCTGCCTGCGGCCGCCCGCGGCCTCCGACGGGCTCGCCGCGGCGCTCGTCATCGCCGGCCTCTCCCTCGTCGTCCGCACGGAGCTCCGCGCGACGCGGCGGCCGCGCGCGGACTACGTCGGCGTCGAACTCGAGGAGCGTTAGCCATCGAGGGGCAACCGCGCGAGGTCCGCCGCGACGGCGGAAACGTGGTCCGGCGTCGCGCGCGCGCGCCGCTGGAGGTCGTAGAAGACGGGCGCGGCGACGGCGATGGCGTGGTCGCCGCCCGCGGCCTTGGCCGCGCGCGACCGCCGCGCGGCCTCGCCGCCGCGGCCGCCGAACGCGTCGAAGAGGCGCCGCGCGTCGAAGGGCGCCGCGGACGTCGCGCCCGGGTCCAGCGCCAGGAGGAGCAGGCCGCGGTTCATCGTGTTGTAGTCGTCGGAGTCGACCGCGAGCTCGCTCCCCGTCAGCGCGCCCGCGAGGATCTCCACGAGGAGGCAGAGCAGCGCGCCCTTGGTCCCGCCGACGGGCAGCTGGGCGCCGGACTCGAGGGCTTCGGCGGCGTCGACCGTGGGCTCGCCCCGCGCGTCGACGGCGACGCCGGCCGCGAGCGGCGCGCCCGCGGCGGCCGCGACCTCGATCGCGGCGCGCGAGCTCGCCGCGAGGGCCAGGTCGACGACGACGGGCGGCTCGCCGCGGCCCCGCGGCGCCGCGTAGGCCACGGGATTCGTGCCCAACACGCGCGTCGCGTCGCCGGCGCCCGGCGCGGCGAGGTACGCCGGCGTGTTGGCGCAGGCGACGGCGACGAGGCCGTGGTCGGCCGCGAGGCGCTCGCAGGTCGGCCCGAGCCTGTGTGGAAATCAAATCTTCAACCCGACTTCAATGTGAGCGTATGCGACGGTTTCGACGCGAGCTCTTCTTCTATGCTTCGAGAACTCGACGAGAGCAATCGATTCGTCCAAAAATCAGCCGAATCGACGTCGATTTGACCGAGATAGAGAGTTCTGAAGTTTGGCCCCGACGTCCCAGCTCACTGGTTGATTTCCACACAGGCCCGAGCCGCCCGGAGATGGACCGCGTGTTCGTGATGGCCGCGACGGCCGCGCCCTTGGCCCCGGCCAGGCTCGCGAGCGCGGCCGCCGCCGCCCGGAGCGGCTCGAAGGCGAGGCCGCCGCCGCCGTCGACG